TCTTTGCATGGTTTTTAAGCAGATACTACTTGTTGACTATGAAACATTCTTCCCCATTTCTCTTATTAACAGAATCTTGATTTTGTTCAAGGCAGTAATGGTGGAAGCTAATTATGATTATATTTTTGCTGCTTTTACAAACTCTCTTTCAGCTACAGGTGGCATTCTGGCCAGCCTGGCTGATGATCTGTTGGGTGGAATTCTGCTGCGAAGACTCCTGGAGAAATAAAAGAGAAAAACATGGCAGATGGAACCTTTTACCCATCCTCCTTTTCCCTTTTCTAACCTTGATCTAACATCAGAGCTGCCAGCAGCCCCTGTATAACCATGGGTAAAAGACTAAAGAATCATCACGCCTGATATTGGTGAGCCACTGAACCAATATCAGCAACTGACTACCTGCAGATTTCTTATATGAGTAAAATAAATGCCTACTTGTTCAAGCCATTTTAAACAAGTTTCCTATTATTTGAACTTGAAGATCCTTCTAACTTTTTAACATTGCCATGAGAGTCATGTTTTTATATTGTTGAAATCGATACCACTTGGTCACCATGTATTTTAAATACAATGCTGTTTTTATTCTGCTAATATATTATTCAAGTTTTTTGCACGTGTATTCATTGGTGAGTGAGGTCCATAATCGTCTCATTAAATGCTTTTTTGTCGAGTTTTGCTAGACTCATAACAGTGGATGAGCAGCTTTTCCACTCAGTCTAATTTCTGGAATAATTCATATAAAGCATATGTGTCAATGTTAAAGGCACCTGTCTGGGTCTGATACTTCCTTTTGGTAAACAAAATTCTCAGTATTTATTTGGGTTCTTCAATTATTAGATGTACATTACAATAATCTGTTCCTTCTTAATTTAATTTTGGTAAGTCATGGATTTTTTTAAGTAAATTATCTGCTTTATGTAAGATTGCAATAGTACTGGAATACAGTTGCTCGTATTTTCTTACGGTCTTACAATCTTCAATGCATCTAAAGTTATCCTCTTTTTTTCATTCCTAATATTGTTTGTCTATGTACTGTTTCTTTTCCCCATGATCAATCTTGTCAGTTTATGTATTGCATTAGTCTTTACAAAGACCCAGCTTTTAACTTTCATTTCTTCTCTTCTTTTTTTTTTTTGTTTTCTATGTTATTCTTTTCTACACTTACTGCTTCTTTCCATTTACTTCAAGTATGCAATACTGTTTTTATCTACCTCCTTGAACTGATTGCCTTACTCATTTTCAATCTTTCCTGTTTTAAAATTTATGCATTTAAGACTACAAGCTTTCCTTTAAGTCTTTTCCTAGCTGCATTCTGACAGTTTAGATATGTAGTGATTTCACTGTCATTCAGTTCCGGGCATTTCACAGATCCTTTAAGATTTCTACATTAACCCATGAATTATTTACAAGAAGAACTTTGTGTTTCCAACTATTTGGGATTCTTCCTTCTTTTTATAGTTGATTGCTGATGTTTTTGCATCATGCAATGTGGAGTACAGGGTAATGATTCTTCAGTATCTGTTGAGATTCCTTTGCCAAGGATACTGGTCAACTTTTCTATATGCAAGTGGTCTCAAGAAGAAAACATATTCTCTGTTGAATACAGGATTATATATGTCAATTAGATCAAAATTATTGATTATGTTGTTCACATTTTCTATATGCCTAATTGATTTTTTTTCACTCCACTTACCAATTTCTAGAGGGTATAATTCAAACGTCTTTATTGTGATAGTGTATTTGTCTAGTTCTTTCTTTATGTATTTTGAAACTGTATTTTTAGAGCACTCAGAAACAGGATGATTCTATCTCTGTTGTTAACAAGAATTTAATGATCATAAAATGATCATCTTCATTTTCTTCCTGAAAGTCTATTTTATCCAATGATAACATCATAGTACCAGACTGCTTTATTTTAAGTGTGTTTTTAAAAGTGTATGTTGTAAAAATCCATACGTTTTACTAAAAGACAGTGTATACATAACATAAGTTTCCTCCCTACTCCTGTCCCCATTCCTGGGTCTCCCTTCTCAGAAGTAAACTGTCATGTTTGTATGTATCCTTTTGCAAATATTCTATGAGTTTTAATTTCAATGAAAATATAATTATGTTGGAGTTTTTGTGAATTTACCTGTTCACTTTTCAGAAGTGCTAATTCTTTGGTTGTTGCATTTACTGGCTCTATGATACTTTTGTATTGAAATTTAATACAAAAGTCTTAAATTTAAATTAAAAATTTAATTTTTTAATTTTTCCAAATTAAAAAAATTTTATTGTGAGCTCATCTTTTTATGGGAATCTTGTTGCTTGGATTTGTAAGTAGAAATCTGTGAGTACTGTGTTGTAAAAATGTCTCTAAAGAACTCATTATAAATGACAAGATATATGTGACTGCTATGGTCTCAGGAAAGCTCTCTTAGAAATATTTTCCTTCAATTGGCCTATGCATCACACAGGCATTTTCTACTAGAATGTTGTTGTTCTCAACTTCTAACCCTCTACCTGCATGTTGGTCTTGCCAAAAAGCAAGGTCTTAAATCCTACTTAAATGATAATTAAACTGGGCATGGAGTTCTAGGTTCATAGCTATTTTCCTTCAGCACTTTGAATATCTTATTTCACTGTCCTCTATGGAATTTATCCTTCAGAAATTTTTTTGCAAAACAAAATTATCCTAACTTCCCTATTTGTGTTTTTGTTTGTTTATTTGTTTTTGACAGGGTCTTCCTCTGTCACCCAGGCTGCAGTGCAGTGGCACAATCTTGGCTCACTGCAACCTTGACCTCCTGGGCTCAAGCAATCTTCCCACCTCAGCCTTCCAAGTAGCTGGGACTACAGGTGCACACCACCACGACCAGCTAATTTTTTGTATTTTTGATAGAGTCGAAGTTTTGCCATGTTGGCCAGGCTGATCTTGAATTTCTGAGCTCAGGTGATTCACCCTTCTTGGTCTCCCAAGCTGCTGGGATTACAGGCTCCTATGTTATCTTTTCTGAATCTCAGAGTCTTTCAATATCCTCCAAATGCTAAGATCTTTCAGTCGATGATTGATAAAACTATACTTTTAACAGATGTACAAAATTAGTTGGGAAGCAATAATATTATCATTTTTAAAGCCAGTTTAGAGACTCCACTTTCAGCACCTAGGGACTATATCTCATATTTTTTAAAAAGTAGCAATTGTGCCAACATCTTGGTCTTTTTAGAATTTTTTCAAGTTGCAGTCAGGAAACGCTCTTAGCAACAAGATAGGTGGTCAAATTTTGTTCAAAGATGACTGCAAAGTAATGAAACATTATTTTGTGAGCTCCATAAATAGCCTCCAAGGACATGACTTAAAGGCAACTTCAAAAATTATTCTAAACAATGGCATAGCTATCAGAAAAAGTTTATAAACTCTCACTTGGTGAGCTAGTTGTTTGTTAGACAAGCATTGTTCCATAGTTACAGGGTTTGGTAACATTAGTTTTGGAGTCAGAACAGTCAGACAGTTTAAACTCCAACTTCATCATATTTATGTCCTTGAGCAGATCATGAAATTTATTGGTATTAGTTTCTCATTTAGTAAAACGAGAATAATTATACTTAGATTTGTGCCTGAAAAATGCCTTAAAGAATTAATTATGATAAATAAAAGTGGAATCCCAATAAATTTTTTAAAAATAAATTTTATGTATTCTGAATGTTAATAATTACTTATCCCAAAAGATACACCAAAACCCATAATAATGGACATAATTTCTTCAATAATTAATATTGATTAGCATTATACAACTAACAAGTTATTACCTTCATTAATTGTTTTCAAATTTGACCAGTTTTTTTTTTTTTAGTTAAGTTCTTTCATAGCCATTGTACATCATATTCATAAGATTACATTCATACAAGCACACACGTAGCAATGTTTAATTCATTCACATTTAATGCAAAAAAATAAACAAAGGCATAACTGTACAAAGGAAAATCATGAACCAAATGATGTTTACAGATTTATGGAATTTCCTGGGATAGTAAACCAGAGCTCTCTGGAAGGGGAACTTCACATGATCCAACTTTGGAAGAGTGTAGATGTGACGGTAGCTCCCCTTTCATCCCTCAGCACTTTGTGGGCTACACAGCATCCAGGTCAGTCTTTGTTAATGCAAATAACATACATACTTCACATACTAGAGCAAGGATATTAAACGAAATGGATCCAGAAGTTGAGATATTATTATACAATCCAAATGGGTTTATCTCTGGGTACACCCGTAATGAGATAAATACTATATTTAACCACTATATTTAGCACATGCCTAACACACAGAAGGTGTTCAATAAATAACAATTGGTGTTATCATATTGCCTGGTTTTGCTAACACATCTTTCCTATTATTTTGAAGTTTTTATACTTGATTCTATAAAAGATAAACCACCTAGTTTTTTGTACCTTGTCACTTACAATCAAATTCATGTTTAAATGGTTCTTATTCTGTTTTCCCAATGAATTTTTAATTTTATTTCTATCTTCTTCCACATGTTCCCATCTCCATCACCCCATGAAAAAAAAATCTGTTTGGAAAGATCTGTAATTGGCTTGTGGCTTCAGCAGGAGTCAATATGTCATTAAGCGCTTACATTTCCAAAAGAGGATAAATCAGTAAGAAGTTAAAAGACAATAGTTTGTGAAATGAAAGTTTACTGGTTAAGAAATTTTCTTTGATGGCTTGAGTTTTTCTCTAGAGAAAAAGTAGTCAAAACTCATTATATTTACCACAGATTTATAGTTGTTGCCATATTCAAATTTTTTCTCCAAGTTGTCTTTAACATGATTTTCTCTTCTTTGAGTGACCTTTGTCCCAAAACTCAGAGCCAGCATATAATGAGCATGAGACCCTGTTGTCAGTGGAAACTATGACAAAGCAGCATCAGAGATTTTAATGAGAAGAGAAAATACCAGGAGAAAAAAATAAGGGTAGAGTCCAATGTTCATTTAGATCAAACTAAGTAAAAATATTTACCTCAGGAGCAATGCAGGATCAAATCTTCATCTCCATGGTACAAGAGCTACCTTTTAAACATGCCTGAGTCAAATCACATGGAAATGAGAACAATAGCTCTTTTTACTCTTCTGCCTCTCCAATCTACCAAACAGAATAATGAATAAGCCACCAAGTGCCACCAACAGTGCATGCTCCATGATTTTCACATACAGGCACCATTCTTCTTAAAGGGAGCAAATGCAGGCTGTTTCACTGGTAAATCACATATTGATAATTTTGGCTTTGCATGCTGGGTTTTAACATGTGGGTGCTGCCACCAGACACATGCTATCTGCCATAGAGCAGCCACAGGTGTCACCAGGCGGACTAAAAGCATATGAGCGTCACTAAGAAAACATGCATATGTCTTTGCTTTTTTAGGGAACTCGGTAAAACTTCACTCTCAATCTTCCCCTTTGCTCAGTGGTGAGCACAGAAGCACTAGAATCTTTCTAAAACAATCTTCAGAATATAATTTTCCCCAGGGACAAGAGGCCCCGGATATTAACCAGAGATTTAAATTAAATATAATTGATGATAGCAGTGAATAGGAAAAAAATCCGGATTTGCCTAAAAAGAACAAATAATATTTCTGTTCTCAAAAACCCCAACTTTTTAAAAAGAACCATTCCTTACTATATCTTATTCATAACCTGATCATATGTATGGGAAACTTTTTTTAAAGTTGATCTTTAGTTTAAAATAAGGGAACAATACATATTCTGTTATGGTGTTGGTTAGGATGATTTATGTTAAAATTATGTTTAAAAATGATGTTTTTAGAGCTGCTAGTAATTTCTAAAAGGTCACAGATATATATATATATATATATATATACACACACAAAGATAAAATTTACCTATTTTAGGCAATTAGTTCATCAAAAAGGAAACCATATACATTCAGTTATTTTTAAGACACAATCACTGTCTCAATTGAATTACCTGATGATTAACAGAAAAATATTTTAGAGGGCAGATAAGGCAGTCCTGATACTGATTGCACCAAACTGATTGTCAGAGAGGTAGGAGATAAAAGTGAATACGGAGTTTCAACATTGTGACCCTAACGTTTGAGAGTCAGATAAGAATGTCCACTATACAGGAAATGAAATACAACAAAGCATGATTAGATCACAGTGTTCAACGAGAGATCTCATTTTTGTTTTTTTTTTTAATAATGCAAGAATAAAAGCATTGTTTGCTCTCTCAGATGATATGTACTTTACTATGTGTGAAAATAAAGAACTAAAGCTGAGTCTACTTTTATGTCTTATCTAATTTCTTCCATGAAAACAAATCAAGAGAGACTGAAATAGCTGTAACTTTACTGCTGTAATTTTGTAAACACTTATAATTTGCAAAATCTTTTTATGTTCATCACCTGGTTTGATTCTCAACACAACCCTGATAGGTAAATTGGCCAAGATTATCATTTCCACTTTATAAAATGAGGAAAACTACTCGAAGAGGTCAGGTGATTTGTCCAAGATCAACTTATGAGTGTTTGAGCCAAGACTCTGTCTTTGTCTTGTAAATGTGCAGCATGGACATTTCCTCCCCTAACTTACATTCCCTTTCTCCCCTTCACTTGACTCCGTTTTTGACTTAATCACTGTGCTGATCACCAAGTCCTATGTTAGCAAACAACTTTTTTATTGCAGCAGATTCAGGAAGCTTTTAGCCAATATAACTGATGTCAGCCTGGTTTAAGATTTACATTAAAGGAATAGTACAAACTTCTCTTTCCCGTACCTATTTTTGTCACAGACAGCACATATCCAATGTATATGATAATTCGTTATATGTACGTATGGTCCGGCAAGAAGAGCATCAAATGTTGTGCCATTTGTGCATATAGAAGAGCAATTTGAAATACTTATGATAGTCCTCTGCAAAATGTAGCAAATTTCTTATTTCCTGAGGAAGTTTGCTTTATCCCTAATGAAGTTTGCTTTAGAGTTACATCTTGATTATGCTACAAGGCTAATGACCACACAGCAGAAAAGACAAGAGAGTGGAAAGAAGAATCTCTGAATTTCTCTAGGCTCTAATTATCATGTTGGGAAATCAGGATGTTGCTTTTCAGTTTTGTTTTCTTTGTTTTAGCTTAACAATGCATTTAAGTGAAAATCCATTAAATAAACCAATTTTCATAGCAGAAATGATAGCATTTTTTCAGCAGAGTTCACGATCTCACTAGTCAAGATACACAAGATTTCACTTTTTAAAAACAAACTGTATCAGCCTGCAGAGAGACAGAAATGAATGATGCAAACAAGCTTATAGCACATAGTTGTGGGAGAATGGTTAAGGGCAATTTATTCTCACAGATTCTTGACAAATAAATTCCCATTCTTTATGTAAATACCCAAGAGGCAAGGTTAGTTGATAAGTTACAGAGAGGGAACCACTTCTCCTCCAATCAAAATGGTAAGGCATCTCTGAAGCCCTGAATGATATGGGTTGCGTTTTAATTGAAGAATTGATAAGCAGAGGGCCCTCGTAGCCAAACTGTAAAGGTTTGGTGCACTTTCATTTGTTTGTCATAAAGTCTAAAGCAAAGATATTGTGGAAATGGAAATAATCAAGATAACAATAATGAACATAGCTAATGTGTACAGAGCACCTGGTCTGGGTAAGAAACTGGGCTTTCAGAGGAAGCATCTACATGAATTATATAATTATTCACTACATGAATTAGGGTATTGAGTCTTAGCAAGGTAAGGTGACTTTTAGGATCACAGTGGTAAATGATTTAGCTCAAGCTTGTCCAACCCACAGCTGCTGGCCACAAGCAGCCCGGGACAACTTTGAATGTGTCCGAAGGGAAATTTGTAAACTTTCTTAAAACATTATGAGATTTTTATTGCATTTTTTAAAGCTTATCAGCTATTGTTAGTATTAGTGTATTTTATGTGTGGCCCAAGGCAAATCTTCTCCTCATGTAGCCAAGGAAGGCCGAAAGATTGGACACCCTTTGTTTAGCTGTAGTCCCAATCCAGCTCAGGAAAGAGCTTTAGAGAAAAACTCAGGTGCTCTGGCTCCAGTTCTAGCTCCTTTGCTAATTCATGGTTTGGATGATGCACATGACTTTCATGCACTTTAGTTTTCTCACTGCTAATATTAAAAGCTAAATAATTCCTAATCTGCAGTAGACAAACTCCTGAGGTGGGGAAGGGGCAAGCAATGTGCTTGGAGTTCATTGCAAGTGATCCATTAACTAAATACATGATGTGTTTTCCTTATATGTGTGTTTCTATTTTAGAAGTGTGTAGGTTTATTTTCGGGATATTAAAATAAAATTAAAAATTATTTCTGGATTCATAGATTCATTGTCATGATTATATTCTCAAACTATAAATTAAAGGAGTTTATAATTAAGTTGGGACTCTCAAAAATATTTTTACATGAAAATTGGGCCTTTGTTTCTTCAAAGGTAAGAAATCATAAGTCAAGATGATATCTCAAAATGCTTCTAGTTATAAATTTCAATTATTACGAGACAATTTAAATGACTTATTAATTTTTAAAAGTAGGAACAATGCATTTAGATTACCTTTTTCTCTCTCAATTACTTGTGTGTTGCTTTTTTTGTTTTTTTTGTTTGTTTGTTTGTTTTTTGGTACAAAATGCTGTCTTCCCTCAATGTTTTGTTGAGATAGTCATTGAAAAGCAGAAGCTGGTAGATTTAGCAATGGCTATTCCTTTGAAGTCTCAGTGATTTTCTTGCATAAATTGTCCATTTTCCATGAAATTGGTGATTAGTTTGGTGAAGTTTAGGAACTCTCAGATTTTTTCTAGGTCAGATGCTTGAAGAACATAAAAAATCAGCCATGTCATGTTTCAGTAGATAAGACTCCTCTCATTCTGTCCACTGAGAATAGTGGGGCTGATTTTTAACTACTTCAAGTGGGTAAGGGCTGCACCTACAGTCCTGATATCTGTAGAAACAACTGCTACTGGAAGGTTGTCCTTGAAGGTTTCAGATGGCTGTTCCAACCATGTTGGTGGCCTTTCTCGGGAATAAGTTGCACAATTCTCCTTTTGTTCATACGATACAAAATAAGCTAACTCTAATCAGGCATCTAACCCCCACTTACTCACGGTGGGATAGTAAATTGTTACGAACCTTCTGCAGGGCAAATTGGTCATGTGAATGAAAACATATTTGACTCAGCAGTTTTCTCCTAAGAATTTGTCACACACACCAAAAAATCACGTATGTACAAAGTATTTACGATTAAAGATGTTTACCCTCCTGTTACTTATGAGAAATTGAAAATGATATAAATGGACAAAAGTAGAGGTTTGATTACATAAATGATATTACAGCCATGTAGAAATACTATATAGCTATTACAAATTTTTGTAAAACAAGTTTAATGACAATAAATGATATCAAGTTAATAAAGGTAAGTAGGTTATAGAAATGTATGTAAAGTATGATTTCACTGAAATTTTAAACTTTAAAAATATAGTTTTTTTGTTTGTTTGTTTGCTTTGATTTTTTAAACAATATAAAGCCTGACATGGCATTTGAAAATAAAGCTTAGGGTATATAATGGACTTCTTCTTTTTTTTTTTTTTTTTTTTTTTTTTTTTTTTTTTTTTTTTTTTTTTTTTTTTTTTTGAGACGAAGTCTTGCTCTGTTGCCCAGGCTGGAGTGCAGTGGTATGATCTTGACTCGCTGCAACCTCCACCTCCTGGGTTTAAGTGATTTTCCTGTCTCAGCCTCCTGAGTAACTGGGATTACAGGCACTTGTCACCATGTCCATCTAATTGTTTTGTATTTTTAGTAGAGATGAGATTTTACCATGCTGCCCAGGCTGGTCTCACCCTCCTGACCTCAGGTGGTCCCTCCATCTTGACCTCTCAAATACTGGGATTATAGGTGTGAACTGCCACGCCTAGTTTAGGCTTTCTCTCTCTCTCTCTCTCTCTCTCTCTCTCTCCCCCCTTTTCTCCCTCCCTCCTTCCCTCACCCTGTCTTTCTTTCTTTCTCTCTCTCTCTCTTTCTTTCTTTTTCTTTCTCTCTCTCTTTCTTTCTTTCCCTTT